CTATGGGATTGAGAGTTTTGTTGGATACAGTAGTCTGGGTTGGCATCTTTGTTCTCTTAGCATCTTCAAGATATCTGTCCAGGCCCTTCTGCCTTTCTTTCTTCTGTACATTCAACGTTTTGATTATTATGTGGTGGGAGACTTTCTTTCCTGGCCCAATCTATTTAATGTTCTTTTTCCTTAATAAACATGTCATTCTTAAAGTTAGGAAAATTTTCTTCTATGACTTCGTTAAGAATATTTTTTGGGCCTTTGAGCTGAGATTCTTCTCCTTCTATTCCTATTATTTTTAGGTTTCATCTTTTCATAATGCCCCAGGTTTCCTGGATGTTTTGTGTCAGGAATGTTTTAGATTTAACATTTTCTTTGACTGATGCACCACCTTTTTTCTATTGTATTTTCTATGTCTGAGATTTTCTCTATCGTCTCTTGTATTCTGTTGGTTATGCTTTTGTCTGTAGTTCCTGTTCACTTACCTAGATTTTCCATCTCCAGGATTTTCTAAGTTTGTGCTTTCTTTATTGCTTTTATTTCCATTTTCAGATCTTGAACGGTTTTATTAATTCCCTTCACCTGTTTGTTTTTTTTCTTGGCTTTCTCTAAGGGATTTATTTATGTCCTCCATTGTTTGTGGATTTTTTAAAATCCTTTAAGGGGTTTATTCATTTCCTCTTTAAGGACCTCTATCATCTTCATAAAGTTGGTTTTAAGGTTGTTTTCTTGTGTTCCAGCTGTGTGGAATACTCAGGGGTTGCTGTCGTAGGATGGCTGGGCTTTGGTGGTGTCATATTGCTCTGGCTGTTGTTGATTGTGTTCTTACACTGGTGTCTAGGCATCCGGATTTGGGATGGATATAGGTGTAGGTGCTGATTTCTGAGTTTGTCTTTGTTGAATAGGTGGTTTGTTCCTTGGTTTCTGTTTCCTCTTTGGTCTTCTGGCGGGACCTCTGGTCCAGTAGGAAGTCTCCATCAGAGCTGGGGGCTGGGCTTCTGGAGGATAACATGGCCTCTGGTCTAGTAGGAGGCTCTCTGTTCTTCTGACTGGTGTGGCCTGCACTTGAGCAGCATAATCCCATCTGAGGTGGAGCCATATATTGAAACTCCTAATCCCCAGTGCTTACAGTATTTGAGACAGAGCACGTAGGTTGAATGATACCCGAGGTGTGTGCTCTGATCCTGTTGGGTTGATTAGTTGCCGTATAAGAAGAAAGATTTCTGAATGACAGGGAGAGACCTGCAGTGACCATCCTGACCTTGGGCTTCTCGCTAGTACCCTGAGAAATAAAGTTCTGTTTTTTAAGCCACATGGTTTCTGGTGCTTTGCTGCAGTGGCTCAGTGAGGACACACTGTGCACACTTTGCTGCAGCGGCTCAGTGGGGGCACACTGTGCGCAGTTTGCTACAGCGGCTCAGTGAGGACACATTATGCATAGTTTGTTGGCTGGTTTCCAGTCTCTTCACACAAAGCCTCTGGGAACAGAGTACACATGTAGTCTGTGCTAATATCTCTGCTGTGATTTGAGTGTGTGTCCCCAAAAGCTTGCTTCCTAACGCAGTGGTGTTGCAGGGGCAGCTGCTTGGAATGTCCTGACTAGTGGGAGACCATTAGCCTTTGAGGGCACTGCCTCCAGAAGAGCTCTGTGCTGGAGCACAGTCTCTCTGGGTTCCTGTTTGGCCCTGTGACCTCTTGCTTCTACTTTTTACTACAGGAGTCCTCGATGGAGCCAGCTGTTTGGATTTGAAGCCTTTATAACTATGAAGTAAATACTTTTTTATAGTTACACGGCCACAGCTGTTTCATTGTTGTATGAAAATAAGCATTTTTATTGTGTGTCTAGAAATAGACTGGTTAGTTTATGTTTGAGTATATGCGTGTGCTCGTGTGTGTGTGTGTGTGTGTGCATGTGAACACATGCATGCATATGTGTCGCTGTGTGTACATGTATAGAGACCAGATTTCAATATTGGGTGTCACTCTCTACCTTATTTTTTGAGGCAGGATGTTTTGCTTAATATGGAACTGACCAAGTCAGCTAGATTGGATGGCCAGCACAGCCTAGGGACCTACTGTCTCTGCCTCCTCAGCACTGAGATGGCAGATGCACGCTGCCCTGCTTAGCTGTGGTAATTTGTTCTTGTTTTTTTTGTTTTGTTTTGTTTTTGTTTTTTAGGGAGGGATTATTTGTTTAAATCAAGACTTAAGTTTAGTTATATGTTTATGTCTGTGTGTGGGTATGTGCCCATTTAGTCCAGAAGAGGGTGTTGAGTCTTCAAGTTTTTCCAGCACCTGATGTAGTTCGACTCTGCATCTCTCCTACAAGAGCAGTATGTGCTGTTAGCCACTGAGCCGTCTCTCCAGCTACGCGGCCCCGCCCCCCCCGTCTTTTAAACAGGAGTGCTAGAGATTGACCTCAGCCTCCATGGCTGTTGAACACATTCTATTGATTGAGCCATTTCTCTAGCTCCTGTTACACTTTTTAAGAAACTGTCAAACTGCCTTCTGAGAAGTTCTGTTTGCCTACCTACAATGAGAGTTCTGTTTCTTCCCCAGTCATATCTAGGCAGTCTTGAGTTGCTCCTACTTGGTATGCCTTGCCAAGGAGAGGTCAGGCAAGCACAGTGTGCTATGGAGCCTCCCCCATCTCTCAGGCTCTTAGATTCCGATATTATTATTATTGTTTTAGTTTACTTTTCATAAAGACTTAGAATGACAGTGTTTTCACCCCTCTTCCTTGGCCTTTCCTAGCTTTCCCTTTCTTTGACACAAAACAAAACCAAAAACCCAAACAACTGGCTGAACTGGAGCACAGGGCAGAGAGGCATTAAAGGAAGTTGGGGTGGAGATGCCATCAACATGTTTCAGTGGGTAGAAGCGTTTGCTCTGCAAGCCTGGTGACCCGAATTTAACCCCAGAACCCATGTGAGAAAAGCTGGATGTGGTGACTCGCCTCTGTAATCTTAGCATTGCTGTGGCAATATGGGAGGTGGAGCTAACTAATGTGGAGTACTCAGAGCAGCAGAAACACAAGAACCAACTCAAGAGAGTTATCCTCTGGCCTCCACACGTGTGTGGAGATACAGATGTACCTGCACTCACACATAGCTCTCTCTCTCACACACACAAACAACACACTTTTAAGAATTATTTAAGGGAGTCAGGGTTTTAGAGTCTGACCCACAAGGACCTGAATCCAGGCTCTGTAGCTGTGTGGTAAGCCTTACTTTGCTCGTCTTGCTTTGGCAGTGTGTGGGGAAGCTAAAACTTCCAGCTTGTGTGGTGGTTACAAGGATTCAATAGAATGCATCAAACATCTTTGTTTATTGAACACTGGGAAGATTTGTAAAAATAGATTTGTTCTATTTATTGTTGAACAGTATGTGACCTATATTATCCACCAGTTGACTGTGGAACTGAGTTCTTAATGGGTATCACCAGTTACAGTGCATTGCCTGGCCAGGGTGACCATGAAATGTTTAATAACATCCAGGCCATGGTTTGATCATTTGCACATATGGGGATATGGGATGTGTGTGTAGGTACTCCCACCAAGGCAGCTCCTGCCAGAGTGTGTTCCTTTAGGCGGCCTTTTCAGGGAAGCCTCTGGTCTGCTCCCTGGCTACTCAATTTGTTTTTAAGAGGATCAGAGCACACCCTGTCTCCACTAGGGTTGCTTTCAGGCTTTTGGGATCGTGGCCTGTGAACACGGCCTGAGTTTCTCAGCAGTGTTTGGCCACGGGTGGCAAGGATGCTGTCTTTTTGGCCTGCAGGATCCTTTGTCCAGCTGGTTAAAGTGTGTTAGAGCGTATGGAGCCTTCCCTCCAATGCAGAAGTGGGGAGTTGGTTTTTGATAGTAGTGTCAGTCTGCTCAACTGATGTCAGTGGAATTTGAAAGGTTGCCCTCAGCATGGGCAGGTAGACTGAGCTGGAGCTCCAGGAAAGTGGAAAAGGGGGGATTGGTGGGCAAAGGATTTGTTTTGCCAGGTGGGGGTGTCTTAAGGCTTTCTCTGCTCTGCCCGACCGCTGGGTTTCCAATACCCTGCAGTGCTGCTCCTTAGAGCCGGCTGGCTTTTTTGGCATCATTTGGTTTAGTTGCTAGGAAGCCGAATAAGGCAAATGCAACTTCCTTTTGACTTGCTCACATTGAGCCATCTGCTTATTCCTTTTCGTGGCCTTCAAACTTGGCTAGGATCATTGAGAAGAGGGTCGAGTGGAGCATCTGCGCTCATCCTTTTTGGAAATGGAATGCTTTCTTCTAACTCTTTAACCCTCTCAGTCCAAATCTGTAACATTCTTGTCAAAACCCTTGGTTCTGTCAGCTAGCAACATGCAGCAAGTATTGTCTTCTAAGGTTTGGCCCTTCTTTATGTCTTAGATTTCAATCTATATTAATAACACATCCCTTAAATGAGGCAGATGGTGGCTGTGTGTGTCAGAGTGTATTTGGAGTGTGACTGTAATGTGGCTTTAGTGGAGGATGCCTCACACCGGAGTTGACACATACCTGGAGCTCTGTTAGGAAGGGAGTATGATCCGGGTGCAGTGAATCCTTAGACACTGGATGGTGTCAGTGGAGCAACCACCAAAAAGAAGCTTAAAACAAAACTAGTCGTTCCTGTTTTTATAATTGATAATTGCAGACACTTCTACTATCGCATGTTGGCTTGCAGATTTGTCCGCTTGGGCAGCTCAGACTTAAGCTGAAGCCCCTTCTGCTGGTGGGTTGTCGTGGTCTTTTCTGTGTCACAGCTACACATTCAGTTGCCAACTTTGCAGAAACAGTTGAATAAACACGCTAAGCAAAAAATAGAAACAGGTATTAAGGAATAGAGTAGAGCTTCTGACAAAGAGATTCTTGAAAAAAAAGCCATTGTTCGAGTTTTTGAAATCCAGTTTTACTGAAGACTTAATCACCTTTGAGTGTACCAGAACTGTGGAAACTAATGTATGAACTATGGGAAATAATTTCTTCTTGAGTGTAATTTGTCTTTGTTGTTTTTTAGCAGTAAGCCATCTAAACCTTTTCTGCCAACTTCTCATTCTCCCCACGAGGGCTACTTAAAGGAGTGTGAAGACAGGCTAAGGTGAGGTTTTATTGTTGTGGCTCAATTTGCTAAAAGCTTAGGTAGTAATGCAAATGTGTTCTTACTGTGCGGACCTAGATGTTTGCTGAAATTGGTGCTATTAATATTTGCTTTTGGGAAGTCTCTTGGGTCAAGTTGATCATATTAACCACTCTACTTTAACTTTTACCTTTCCACAGTCATTTGGACTCTTAACTGACGTATACCCATGACCAGAAGGGCCTTCGCCACCGTCTCTTTGTCTGTAGTATTTTTCAGTCATCTCTGAGTGACTTCCTTGCTTTATCCATTCTCTCTGTTCAGGCCTGTCACTCTCTTCTATGTGTACTTTTCTGCTCCTGTCTTATTGCTGCTATATGCTCAAAAAATTTATTTCAGTACAAGACAAATTACTACTTTAGAGACAAATATAAATATCAGTTGTTTTTTTAAAATGTGATTGGAGAGTTGACTCACCAGCGATTAATAACACCAGCACTCTTCCAGAGGGGACCCAGGTTTGATTCCTAGTACCAACATGATGGCTCACTACTGTCTAACTCTAGTCACAGCTCTCTATTGGCCTCTGTGGGCATCACACATACACACTCTACACAGACGTATATAAAGGCAAAACATCTGTATACATAAGAACCATAATTTTTTTGTTTTGTTTTGTTTTAAACTGAGGAATAAATAGATATATAAAAACATTATATTAAAGTGAAAATTTCTGTACCAGATTTTAGTGGTTTGTTTGTTTGAAGCAGGGTCTCTCTATATAACCCCAGCTGCCCTTGAACTCACTACACAGATCAGGCTGGCCTCAAACTCACAGAGATCCACCTGCTTCTGCCTCCCAAGTGCTGGGGTTATAGGCGTGCACCACCATGCCTGGCCTTAAACATTTTGCTTTGTTTCCTAGGTTAGCTTTGAAGTCTTGGGCTCAAGTGATAATCTTCCCATGTGAGCCTCAAGGATCTGTTGCAGGGCAGGGCACCACGTTCTCTTGTTTCTTTAGTGACTTTAGCGACTCACATGGTTATTGTTCTGAAGCGTGCACACCTCCCTCTCAAGGCTCTTCTGTCTCCTTTGCTTTCTGTGTTCAGCAGGGGAGTGCCTCTAAGCAGGTGAATCAGCGTAGCGTTCCACGCTGCTCACCTTGATCTTTCTATGGAGTTTCGGTAAAAGCAGTTTTCCTTTTGTATTTGAATTGATTTTTATGTGTATGAACTTTGACAAGGCCTCCCTTCTGCCTCCATTAGAGATGAGTTTTGTGACATATTAAATTGATAATTCAAAATTGAAAAATGCTTCCTCAAGTGCAGAAGCACTTGGAAATACAGAATTCAGGAGTGGCTGTTAATAGGAATTAGTTTCTCTCAGGTACCATTTCCTGAAAGAGACCTAGAAGGCCTTCAATGTTAGGTTACCTTCTGAAGGAGAGAGTTTCTGGCCCTGGTCTGGGAGGAGCTTAGAGGCAGAAGTGGGTGCTAATGGTCAACTTCCCCTGAGGGCTGTCTCACTCTGTTTCTGGGCTCTGCCTTATCAGCTCTTGGAGACCCCCAACAAGCTCTGTTATAGTTTCCCTTTTAGAAGGGAGGAACCTCTAACCCCAGTCCATGGGGCTTGGAGGGAGATCAGTTCAGGCCATTCTTAGCTACAGACTAAGAGGCCAGTGTAAGAGCCTACCTCAAAACAAACAACAACCAGCCAGCTGGAAGTGAGGAGTCTGAGACAGGAGGATAAACTCTTGTCTGCTAGCTGTGAAGCTGAGGGTGGAGCCTGGGCAGCTGTGCTCATCCCCTGCTGCTTGCCATGACTGCCCAGAGGTCGGCTTCTGGAATGTCGTGCAACTCCTGTGCTTCCTTGGTTGGGGAGGCACGGGAATTTTCTTTCTACTGTATTATTAGGGCCATGGGTGTGGCTCTGGTAGAATACTCATCTGGTGTGCATGTGGCCCTGAATACCGCCCCCAAGAAGAAGAAAGGAACGGAGGGAAGAAGGCAAAAGGAAAGGAAAGGGAGAGAGGGAATCCGAAGATTGAGGGAAAGCCAGCAAGAGCAAATGTATCCAGGGTTAAAGCAAAGCTGATAACTTTGAGTAACTGGACTCAGAGGCCTGTGTCTGTCAGGCAGCAGACAAAGCTCAGCAGGTCAGGGTGAGGGAGCACTGGGTGGAGAGCTGGATCCTCCAGGACGGGGCCCGCCCCCCCCCAAGTCTTGGCCTCAGGCAACCACTTCACAGTTATGTCTACTGTGAGAGTAGATGAGAGGAACCTAACCCGAAACCTAGGAGGAGAAGCAGCGGGATTGACGCTTGTGGTAGTGTAGGGCACAGTCAGTTTGACAAAGTGGATCCAGAGCCGCTCTGCCATGTGTGCGAGGCCTCTTGTGGGAATGCAGCTAATTGCCGCCTGCTGAGACTTCTCTCCCTGGCAGGACGGTCCTTGTGGACAAAAACATTGCTATCTAGATACTGGGGAGCTGCAATAAAAGTGCCTGATTTAGGGTACAGCGTGCATCTAATTCCCCCTTTCCTCTGTTAAATCACAGCAAACGGGAGCACTTTGGATGGTTAATAGATTACCCAGCATCTGTGCACTATTTTGCATGCTTTTAACAAGGGAACATAACTTGCTCAAGGGAGCCCGAGGAGTACTTACGAGTGTGGGAGCAAAGCTCAAGGAGTCGCGTTTGCCTGCGTCTAACAAAGACCTGAGAAGTGTAGAAGTGAGCACCTTTTATCACAGATAAACATTCTTTTTGTTTGTTTGTTTGTTTTTTGAGACAGGGTTTCTCTGTGGCTTTGGAGGCTATCCTGGAACTAGCTCTTGTAGACCAGGCTGGCCTCAAACTCACAGAGATCCACCTGCCTTTGCCTTTCGAGTGCTGGGATTAAAGGCGTGCGCCATCACCACCCAGCCCAAATGAACATTCTTATAAAAATATTTTCTGTCCTTCAGACTGACCGCTGTAAGTATGAGTCTGTCTGTCTCCATTTAGCACTTTTTCTCTTGTAGCAGATAAGAAATGGATGAGAAATGGCAGAAACTCTTAGATTCACACAGTACTCTAAAATGAGAACAGATTCTTGGGGAACATTTCTAAGCAGCCGCTGTCTTAGGTGTTTGCAGCTTGCATTGGGTGATCTGGATAGGGTCTTCATGTTGTGGGGGCATGTTCAGAGGGAGAACTTACCTCACAATTTGAGAAACTATTTTCATACTTGCAGCAGTACTGAAGAATTATGGGGGAATGTGGTTGATTATTCAAAAAGGAATGAAGATAACCATGAGCAATGCCAGTACTTTCAGCTCGGTAAGAATTCTGTCCAGATTGTCTGCAGTGTGCTGACTGTTGTCCTTCTGTAAGGCCACCACAGCCTCCATGATGGTGATTTGGTCATGCGGAAGCCCAGTGCCCCTGTTTTTCAGATCTCACCAGTGGCCGGGATGCTCAGAGAGAGGCGCTTTTCCAGCACTTCTACAGAGTGCTCCAGAAAGCATGGGACCGAGAGAAACCTTCGGATTGCGTTATTGTCTCTATCGACACAAACCAGAGGTGACTTTATTTCTTTTTAGCTTACCAAATGAGGGTGTGTGCATATTGGGATTTAAGGGTTTAGTCTCGAGTACATAACTTACTGGGAGTCAGCATTAGGGACATTCCTTTAAGATTGTCAAAATGTCACTGTTGGGCTAAGTACATTGGAAGTAGGGCCATCATTTCCAGAGTCCTGTCTTACTCAGATTGACTTTATTGCTTGCATTCCTCCCACCCCACCCCCCTTTAGTCTGCCCATCTCATACATTGGGGCTTTTCCGTGCTGTCTTAAAATCGCTTCTGTTCACATCATAATGACAGTGATTTCATGAGTGGCACCAGCCGTGAGCCTGGCTGATGCCTGCTGATCATAGTGTTTGGCAGAGTCTGGCTGGTAAACAAGTGGTGGGCTTGAGGGCTGTGCACTTGTCAGAGTATCACTCACTACGTGATGCTAAGGGTCATCCGATGAGCAGAACTCTACGGTATGATGCCAGGCATATGTGAAGCATGACTCTGAAGGCAGTGTTGAGCTTTCTCTGGCTGCATGGCCCCACTGGCCTGGAAATTGCAGTGTAGACCAGGTTAACTTCTGTCTCAGAGAGCTGCGTGCCTCTGACTCCCAGGTGCTAGAATTAGTTAGGGTCACACACCAACATACTCTGTCGCCATCATCTTCTTTGTCGTCTTCCTTTTTCTCAGGTTCTTCTTTCTTTTTGTTTTTTTTTTTTAAATCTGCAATCTTACAACAACTCAGAAATTTTATTCACCATTCAAAAGCAAAATTATAGCTCCATTTCATTTGTAGGGCATTTGGATTGGACCTTGGGAGACAGTAGCTAGAAGAAATGAGGTCAGTCACAGCGTGGGAGAGGGCCATTCCTTTTACAGTCAAATGATGGAATGTCTCCTTAATTGAAAGACGGTCAGAAATGCCCTGGATTAATCTGGGTAATTTAAACAGATTTTGAACCTAGAGGTGGAAAAGACTCAGCATGTGTAGGAGGTTTGCTGCCTCAGCAATTAGCAATTTTGCCACAAGACTGCTTTGACCTGTCACTGCATTAGTCTTTGGCTAAATAAACTTCCCCCCTCCCTCCCCAAAGGCAAAGTCTTAGTGTGTAGCCCGGGCTGGCTGTGAACTCGTGGCAACCCTCCTGCCTTAGTCTCCCAAGTACTAGTCACAGGTTTGAGCCATAATGCCTGGGTTAGATTCGCTAGCTTGGCTTTCCTTATCCCCCCCCACACCTGTTAAATATTTATTTTTTTATTATGTATACAGTGTTCTGCCTGCATGTATGCATGCATGCCAGAAGAAGGCACCAGATTTCATTATAGATGGTGTGAGCCACTGTGTGGTTGGCTCAGGTTCTCTGGAAAAGCAGCCAGTGCTCTTAACCTCTGAGTCATCTCTCCAGGCCTCCCCCCCTTAATTTAGTCTATTTAGCTTACACTGACCTCATACTTGCTATCTAGATGAAGATGACCTTGAACTTGTGATTTTCATATGTCCACCTCCTTAGTAGAACGTATGTGGCATAAACTCCCAGTTGATGAGGTGCTGGAGATTCAGGGCTTTGTGCATGCCAGGCCAGTTGTCTGCCTCCTGAACTACTGCCCAGCCCTTAGATTAGCTTTCTTAGCATTTGTAGCAAGTATCATATATCTGAATTGGATCATCTCGTATTTCATTTAGAACTGTGGCTGACTCCAGCTGCTTGTTGGACTAAGCATGATCCTGATGCTCTGGCTGTCTTCCCATCAGCAGAGTTAGGTGGCCAGCACTAATTGAGGGCGGTCTTGTAGTGCAGACTATCTGAGGCTGCATTTCTCCTCTCCACCAAGAGTGGCATTAGAAGCAGCTACTCCTCACATGTTACTAGCTCCTGCCTGGTGTTCAGTTAGCCATGGATCAGAACACCGGAGAGGATACAGCGAGGAGCTCTGTCAGCCACAGGGTGTCTGCAGCTGCTGGGACTCTGTAAGCATGTTTGGTTTTGTATCACTTCGATGTCAGTAAGGTTTCCAGTGAAACATCCTTTGTACTGCAAAATGCTAATTTTCAGTTCATGTCATCTAATAGGAATTATTTCTGCGATGGCTCTGGAACATGGGCTGTATGAACTGTTGTTTTCTTCCTGAGTTTATTTTCTGAAATCATCCCTATTTTGCTAAATTGCCAGAAACACGTTTCCCTGTCATCCTAACAATCTTTAGTTCTGTAAAACATGCATTTTACTGACTTGTAACATGTAAAGCTCTGTGCACAGGAACATAAGTATAATTCAGTAACGAATACTTTTTGTGAGAGGCGCTGTTTAATAGGATAAAGCATACACATTACAGCTAGAAGAGCAGATGTGGATTGAGAGTATAGTTCAGTTATGACGGATTCTATCCCTAGCACGCTCTTTCAAGTCTAGTACTTGGAAATGGAGACAGGCATATCAGAATTTTGAGGTTATCCGTGGCTGCACAGTGAGTTCTACGCTAGCCTGTGCTACATGGGATTGTCTTAAAAGAGAGAGATCAAATGTACTGAGGGCTTGTTCTACCAGAAACAGAATATTCATATGAGAAAGAGCGGGTTACGGTAGTTTGGAGAGAAGCTAAAGAGATTACAGAGAATAATGTCACTGGTACTGAGTCTCTGAGCTGAGGATTATTTTGTGACTTAACAAACAGAATGGCAGAGGGAAAACAGAAGGAAAGGGGAGAACTGATTATCCAGGGGTGCTTAATCTGTTTGGCAAGAGAATGGGATGTTTGAAGCTTGTTTAGATGGACTGAGGTAATTTCTGTTATTTACTTGTTTTGTTTTTTCCAGTGAATGTCCTGCTAGAAACGAGAATGCTGGTTAGGTTGCAGAGCAGGGCTTTGTGGGTTTTTAAGTAATTACTAGGCAAGAATGAACACATCACTCAGAGAGAGGCCTGGGAGATTGACTGAGGGAGGCTGAGGAAGCAGGACACGAAAGGCTTTGATCCGAGGCTGGTTCCTGAGTGGTGAATGTGGCAGACTCCAGCGTCACTCTTCCTCTCCATAGGAAGGACCCCTCCTGATGGAAATGGCGTGGTGAGGGCCTCTCTTTGCCAACTGAGGTGAAAGCTGACTTGTTCTTCGGAGTAGTCTTCTCACTTGTCCTTTTAAACAATCTCATGCTTCTTTTATGGTCTCTCAATTGACATGACATCATCAAAGAACACTTGAAGGCTTCCATTTTAAAAATAGGCTACTCATGGTGCTTACTTGGCACAGTACCCAGTATACCAAACAAAAGCAGCCTCTACTGTATTTGGTTTGTTTCAAGATAAGGTTTCACTATGTAGCCCTGGCTGTCCTGTTTAGCTTGATATGTAGACCAGGCTGGTCTTGAACTCATACAGATCCTCTTACTGGTGCCTCTCAAGTGTTGGGATTAAAGACATATGCCACCGTGCCTGCTGTGCTTTCTTGACTAAATTATACACATAGTCAATCTTATAAAGGATTTTACAATTCAGAAAAGATTGTACTTCACTAAGATAAATAAAATAAAAACATTGTCTTACTCTTTGCTTGCTTAAATGTGTAGTGGTAATGTGGACTCTTTTCTTCTATTGAACTGAAAAGTAACCTGCATTTTTCTTTATTTATTTGTGTGTGTTTGTGTGTGTGCGTGTCTTAAGGGATTATGCGACAGCCATAGGCTGCCGCCTGCGGGACCGTGGTCTTGTAGTGGAAATAATTCACCTTGCCTCAGAATCGGACTTCACTCGCGCACTGCAGGATGTTAAGGATGATGGTTCCCCCTTTTGTGTTCTCGTGGAGCAGTCTAATGTGAAATATTCCTCTTGTACTGTAATCATGCTTCATGAATCCATCAAAAGTAAGTGTCAGTTCTAAAAGTGTCTCTAGAGACAAGCCCTGCTTTAAACATGAGGTGTCTTTTCTTTGTGTGCTGGCATGCTTTGAAGGGTCATGTTTGTAGCTGAACTGCTTTTAGTTGAGGAAGAAAGTCTTGCAGGTACCACAAAGTACTTTTTCTGTGTATCGCTGAAAACTGAAACCTAAGTCACCTTTACTGCATCTGTGTAAGGATCACACAGCCAGATATGGTAGGCTTCCATATTTAGTTCCAGAACTTGAGAGGCAGAGGCAGAAGGATGGGTCACTTGAGCCCAGGAGTTTGGGCTGTGTAGACCCTGTCTCAAATACAAAAGAGCCTAAAATAACGGATTGCCATCTGTAGAGATTTTGGCCAAATCTTACCACTAGCTTTTATATTCTTGATGGTTAAGTTTCATGGATTCTTTCTTCTTTTTCCAAGGATTCTCTTAAACTTTTTATTAATCTACCTCCCCTCACTGTGGGGTGGGGGAGATGTTTAACTTAAAAAGAGAGGAGGCTTGTTGATCCCAGTTTTTTAGTTTTCCATCTGAGTTCATCTAGAGCCCTGGTGGTGGGCCCTGCCGAGACTGTCTGTCATGGTAGTGGTGTCAGAGGAAGCAGCTTACCTGGACCATTAGAAAGTGAAAGATAAGAGCTGGAGACCAGGCCCAGTGTCCCTTTCCAGAGAATGCTCTGGTGATCAGACTCTCTCCTGCTGAGCCCTACTTCTCAGCCCAATGGCTGGAGACCAAATCTTTAACACTTGCCTTTGGGGGGCATTGACCCAGACTCTTTTTTTATTTTTTAAAGTATGCTTTTTCTATGCTTTCTCATCCATTTCTTTGTTCTGGTTTTCATGAGAATACATGAAAATTAACACACACACACATCCTTTTTGTTAGTTTGTTCATTCAGACAGGATCTCACTGTGTAGTCTTGAGTAGAGTGGAACTCATTCTGTAGACCAGGCTGGCCTTTAGTTCAGAGGTCCGCCTGCCTCTGCCTCCCGAGTGCTGGGATTAAAGGTGGACGCCACCACCGCCCAGTGAAAACGATCCCCTTTTGCTCCCTGATTGTACAAGCTTAGGCAAATGTGCTCTTCCTGTCCTGTCTTGACCCTGTCCACTGCAGTTGGAGGCTGAAAATGGCATTTTTCCCTCTGGATGCAGGGAGAGAGCCTCATGGGAGTCTCACCCACACCTACTGAATTTTCTAGTTCTCTTTCAGAAGCCCCTACATGCTTCTGTTCAGTCCGGATGCAGTAAGTGTCTCCTGTATCCTAGGCTCTGTATACCTGGCTTCTTTTCCGCCCTGGTTAGCAGCAGTTGAGCATGTTTCTCCTGCAGACTCTGGGTCACCTGTCCCAGCAGTATCAGAGGCTCGTTGCTAAGTCTGAAGCTCTTTCCCTTGAACAGAGCCCATGGGATGCTAGTAGCTAGAATTAACTCATCCCTTTAATTCTGAGACCTGGTAGAGAAGTGAATACAGGGTTAATAATCTAAATTCAGCAGTCACATTGGGTCAGGAGGGAGAAGAATGCTGAGCTCCTGTCTCTGCCATGGACGGCTGAGCTCTTTTATTGGAATCATGGCATCTCTTTTGCCTGCCTGCCAACTTCTGTTCAGTACTACACTTGAGAGTGTGAAATTAAGGTTTTTCTATATTCAGTAGTTTAGAAGGCAAAAATCACAGTTACTTTGCACATAAGTTCTAGAAATGTTAAAAGAACACACTCTTTCAATAATTACAAATCTCACTCTCCTGGGAAAAGTTTAATTTGAATAAGTTGTGAGAAAGACTAATTATGTTTCGCTTTTTAAGTGTTGACATCATGCAAGATCATTTAGGAAATCATCACAAAATAGGTAGACTATTTGTTGAGTATTTTTGTTGTTATTGTTGTTTGTTTTTTGTTTTTCCAGACAGGGTTTCTCTGTGTAGCTTTGGAGCCTGTTCTGGAATGCGCTCTATAGACCAGGCAGTGGTGATGCACACCTTTAATGCACCAGGGAGACAGAGGCAGGCAGATCTTTGTGAGTTCAAGGCTAACCTGGTCTATAGAGCAAGTTTCAGGACAGCCAGGGCTACACAGAGAAACCCTGTCAGGGCTGCGCTTTCCAGTCCTGCCCTTCTCTCCTGGATGTCCTCTTCCTCTCGGTACTGCACCCTGATGCTGTAGTCAGACAGAGAGAGCGCCTTCACCTTTCAGCTTTTCATTCTTTGCTCCATCGTCCTCTTCCATTAGAGATCACTGTAAAGTGGTGGGTACTATAATGACGTACCTTGGCCACATTTCCCCTTGTTTCTGGGTATTGTTTGTTTCAGATGCAGTCTCATGTACTCTACCTTGGCATCAAATGTGCTAAGGAGACGAGGATGATGTTGAACTTGGCCTTACCTCTCAAGTGCTGAGAGTATCACATTTGACTTTGGGTTCTATTTTTTTTTAAATATTTATTTATTTATTCATTATGGATACAATATTCTGTGTGTATGTCTGCAGGCCAGAAGAGGGCACCAGACCTCATTACAGATGGTTGTGAGCCACCATGTGGTTGCCGGGAATTGAACTCAGGACCTTTGGAAGAGCAGGCAATGCTCTTAACCACTGAGCCATCTCTCCAGCCCCTGGGTTCTATTTTTTAATGTGATAATTTGGTCTTTTAAAAAACTAGGTTTCTTAACAGTTTCTGGGCCAGCCGGGCAGTGGTGGCGCACACCTTTAATCCCAGCACTCGGGAGGCAGAAGCAGGCAGATGTCTGTGAGTTTGAGGCCAGCCTGGACTACAAAAGCTAGTTCCAGAACAGGCTCCAAAGCTACAGAGAAACCCTGTCTCGAAAAATAAAAATAAAAGAATTTCTGGGCCTGGGAAATTGCTTAGTGGGTTAAAATGCTTGCTGTATGCCAAATGGCCTGAGGTTGATGCCAGAACTCATACAAAAAGTCAGGTGTGGTCTGTGGCCGCAGCACTTTCTATGGCAAATGGGAGGTAACAAGAGCATTATCCAGAAGTTGATGGGCCAGCCAGCCTGGAATATACAGTGTGTAGCAATAGAAGTGAGACCCTCCTCAAAACAAAGTTGTTCCCTGAACTCCACGTGTATGCCGGGCCTATGCACTTGTGCTTCCAAACACTCTTGGACACACATATACACTAAGTAAATAATTAAAATTAATTTTATTGACGCTTAGCCCATGTATTCCTACAGCTGTTGCTTGTTTTAGTTTATGTATTCACTTAAACAATTTTTTTGAGCTGGGTCTCTCTTTATCAGTGGTTCTTAAAACCATTACCCCTTTGTGGAGTCGGGTGACCCTTTCATAGGGGTTCCCTAAAACCATTGGAAAACACAAGTATTTATATTATGATTCACAACAGTAGCAAAATTGCAGTTATGAGATAACAATGAAAATAATTGTATGGTTGGGGGTCACTACAACGTGAGGAACTGTATTAACGTGTCACAGCCTTAGGAAGGTTGAGAAACACGGCTCTATGTGACTTTGACTGTCCTGGCTGACCTCTCCCAGAGGCCCTCTGTCTCCCAAGTGCTGGCATTAAAAGCATGTACCGCCACACCTAGCCTTTGTGTAATTTTTAAATAAGAAGTAGTGTCTGTTTTGAAATTAAATAAAGCTCCTGCTGTGGGGGGTAGTAGCCGTTCTGTTCAGTGTCACATCTGCATCAAAGACCAACGGCCAGTACAGTTCGCAGTGGATTATCTGGTTTCTGGCTTGTCTTTTCTCGTTATTTTATTTTATAAAATTTTTTTTAAAATAGAGAGAGACCTGTATGCTAAAGCAGCTTGTCTTGTCTCTAGTACATCGACATATGCCGCTGGAGGATGCCCTGGTCCTGGTGGCTAGAGAACTGAAGAGGTTTTCCGCTGGACAAAGCGCTGGAATTTCTCAGAGGGCTGCAGAGCTGGTGGGTGACTTCCTGGCCCGTGAGCACCTGGCCAGTTACTCTCCACCAGCCAGCATCCGTCATCTTCTGTTCCTGTTGAGTGAGGGGAAGCATTTGTACAGTGACGAGCTGGGCCTCCTCATGGGCTACCTAACAACCAGGAAAGAGCAGCTGCAAGGTACATGGCACTGTCCCTTCCCTTCTGAGTTCTGAACTCTGGGCACATCCTTTTTCTATAAACCCGTGTGTGAAAGAAAACTAGGTTTCTCATTCAGAGAGAGAAGTGTGTGTGTGTGTGTGTGTGTGTGTGCGCGCGCATTCATGTGTGTGAGTGATACAAAAGGAACTGGTCAGCATGGGTTTCTAACCTTTACACACTAAAATGCTTCTTTTAAGATTAGAGTTTCTTTTGAATCAGATGTTTAAAAATATATTTAAGATAATTTTTTTCCTTTTATTATTGCTGTTTGTATGTGCAGGTATGGATCAGAAGACAGTTTGTGGGAATTTTTTTTTCCTACCATGTGGGTCCAAGTGATTAAATTCTGGTTGTCAGTCCTGGTGGCAAACATCTTTACTAGCTGAGCTATCACTGACCCTAGAGTACATTTTTTGACTTATTCTTTGATACCGTTATGCATATACATAATGAACTCTGATCATCTATACCTCATTACCCTTTCTTCCCTTGTCTCAGTCCTGTTGAGCTCACCTTTCTCGCAGCAAGTGCCCTCCCTGCTTTCATGACTGGATCTTGTGCCCTGCTGAGTCTAATTAGGGTTGCTTGCAGAAGCACGAGTGTGGGGTTATTTACTGGAGCACGGGCCGCTCACTAGTGGCTACACCACTGAAATACACGGCTGCCTTTCTTCCCAGCAGCCATTAGCTGCCCACAGCTCCTCAGGTGCGGGGCCTCATGAGCCCCTCCTCAACCTGTGACGGAACATTGGCAGGTCCAGTCTTGTTTGGGTACCCACATCTCTCTTCTATGTGTCTGTGAGTGCAGCAGCCACGCAGTGTTCAGAAGGCTGCACGTCACAACACTGTCCTTTCCTCTGGCTCTGCTTTCTGCCCCCTCCTCAGCCTGCGGGGTGGGTGGGTGGGAGGATTGATAGAGAGGTGTCCCACTGAAGGCTGAGCACCTATTCTCAGCACCTCCACCAGGTCTGAGTGGCTGCATTAACTAAGACTTCTCTGTGCAAGACTGAGACCAGCACTGTGAGTATAAATGTAACTATTTACAGGCAATTTGACAATATATCCACTTAGCAAAACAACAGTAGCTTTTTCCCTAAGGCCCATGACCTCCAGCCAGCACCATCTTTTTTTGACCAGGTTTGACCAGTTGTGAATCTCCTCCTTAGAGCTGTGTAAACTCCAGTCATCAAGTGGTTGGATACCCCTACAACCTTCAGGTCACATGATAGCATCACTGAGCACTGAGCCTGGCTGGTCAGTATTACAGTGTGCAGGATCCACGACTGAGTAGGACTGTTGCTGGCTTTATCTCATCAGCCTCTAGCTCTGTGAAAGCTAGCCGTCAAGGGGGAAGCTTCCAGCTCTGTACTAGCCCGGTTTCTCTACATCCTGTAACACATAACATGGTGTGTGTCTACAGCAGTAGAACCGTACAGTCTACTTCTGCTAGGCAGCAAGAGAAGTGGCAATGACCTGTGTTCCTTTGGAAGCCTCTGGGAACTCCCTAACTAATAGCACATAGGGAGGTATCCCACACCTACCATTGGACTTCTGTTCCACAGCTGGTGACTTACGGAGTAGCATTGCTCAACCACTCAGGGTTGTGTGCACGTGCATGATGTGTACATGGAGGGCATGAGTGTGCCACAGCATACATGTGGAAGTCAGAGGACAACTTGGTGGAGCTGGTTCTTTCCTTCCATGTTTACATGGGCTCCAGGGATTAACTCAGGCTTGCATAGCAAGTGTTTTATCCACTGAGCCATCTTGACACTCCCTCTTTTTTTTCTTTAAGTTAGCTTTACAACGTAGTAGGTTTCCAGGCAGCTTTTTCACACATCCGTAGTTTTGGTTATTCCTTCCATCCCCAGTGGTTTCCTTTCTACTCTCATATCATATGTTGAACTAAATTTATAGTAAGTAGAATGACCTCTGTCCACACACAGGCTTATAATTTCCTCCGTCTTGGCTCTGCATATCATTTTTTGTTAGCACCAACATGCTTACAACACTGACCAATGTTATATGTTAAAGATGTATATGGTTCTTAATCTTGAGTTTAGAGAACATTTCATTTATGAGCTTGCCTCTTAAAATAGTGACTTTAATTAATTAATTAACTAATTAATTAATTTATGAGGCAGGGTTTCTCTGTAGCTTCGGAGCCAGTCCTGGAACTAGGTCTGTAGACCATGCTGGCTTCGAACTCACAGAGATCCACCTGCTTCTGCCTCCTGGGTGCTGGGATTAAAGGCGTGCATCACTACCACCCAGCTAAGTGTAGTGACTTTCTAACTGAGCATGGTGTCACACTCATTTAATCCTACACTTGGGAGGCAGTGGCAGACAGATTTCTGAATTTGAGACCAACCTGGTCTAGAGAGTGAGTTCTGGGCTAGCCAGGGTGACACAGAGAAGACCTGTCTTAAAAAAAAAAATCAAAAAAACAACAACAGAAAAGAAACCTAATAAATAAATTAATAAGTAGTAGCTTTCTCCTTTTGAATGAAGTGTGTGAGACAGAAATAACCACTTGTCCCTTCAAGGGAAGAGGCGCTGCTGTGCAGCACACTGGGATGCATTAAAGCTTTAATGACTCGCTCACCTGACGAGAGAGTGGGTTTAGCTTTGTATACTTATTATACTTACTTTCTCAGGGTGGGTGGAATCTATAAAGTTAAAGCATGACAGTCCTAGTCCTGTTTCTTTTCATTATAGAACCTTCTAAATCAGCTAAAGGAAAGAAGACTTTCTTGAGTAAACAGAAGTGAAACTTCTTTGACTAGCCTGAAAGGCTCACTGGCCTGGACGGCCAGCTTCTGCTAACTGTTGATTCTTTTTACTTTTCTAGAATGCGAGGCTCCAGATTCATCCGCCAGCAGCATGCCTGCCTCCTTTCAGGGCAAGATCACCCCCGTTGTGAGCAAGCCTCCTCCTCTGCTGCCAGTTTCTGGCCCCCGGCCCTTACTTGATATTCCTCCTCCCCGTTCTATCAAGCCCCTCGTTGGAGACAGGCAGGAAGTTGGCTCACTCCCAGCACCAGGTCAGTGCTTGTGTGTGCGTCACAGAGCAGATCTCCTCCAGCGGTGTCTCTTCCCTCGGGGAACAGATGTGCTCTGGATTTCCTCCTGCAGGAGACACGGAACCACGAAGAAATCCTTCTGAGCTTTATGGCCATGGCTAGAGCTATTTAAACTGGGGGTTCTCATAATCCCTACTGTAAATTCAAATGTTTGTGAGGGTTTTATTTCTGAATGATGGCAGTCTTCTAAAGAAGTTTTATCACTGTAGCTTTTTAATTTTATCGATTTTACTTGTGAGTTTGCCCCTACATATGTGTGTGCACCACGTGCATTCCTGGTGCCCACTGAGGTTTTAGAGTAAGGTCATCGAGCGCCAGGAACTGGGGTTTCTGACACTCATGAGTCATCATGTGTGTGCTGGGAACCAGCTCTGGCTCTGTTGTTAGAACAAGTCCTCTTTACCACTGAACCATCCTCCAGTCTCACTGTCCCCCTTCTCTGTGTGACGGGATCTGCCTCAGGTTGGTTTAACACTGCAGACCTGAAAGCTCTCATGACTAACCTCAGTTCTAACTGAATCCTGTCACTCAGACCCATCTCTTCCCTCTGGGAGGAGGCCTGGCTGAAGTCTAACCACAGAGTGTTCAGACATCAAATCAGGCCTGGCTGGCTCTCAGCACCAACTTCTCTGTGCCAGCGACTGAGCCTTTTCGGTCCCTTTTCATGTCTGAGGATGGAGTTTATCTCCTGCAGAGCACCCCTAGGTTGCTAAGAGCACATTTTCAATTTACCACCAGGTTGGCTTCGAAACTCACAGAGATTCACCTGCCTCTGCTTCCTGTGTGCTGAGATTAAAAGCATGATCCTCCACCGTATGGCAGAATAAATCAATCTTTTTAAAAAGACTCCTTTTTAAAGAATATGTGGGATGGGGAGGGAGAGAGGAGCAGCGAATTAGGATAAACTGGGATTAGACCAGGATTTTCACACTTCCTTTTGAAGTTTTAGTTGGTAAATACTTAAGATTTAGGGACAAGAAAGAAAATTCAGGTTATTGTATGTGTATTTGAATAGTGATTTAAAACAGTAAACTGCTGGGCCAGGTGGTGCAAGGCAAACCCAGACTACGTAGCCAGATCTTGTCACAGAAAACACAAAAGCAAAACAAATCATACAAATTAAGGGTCTGGGGAGAGCATCCTTAGCCCGAAGACCATCTTTTGACAGAGGACCTGATTGGGTCCTGCCCTAGACTGGACCACTACGAACTATCTCAGTGCGAGAAGTTGGAGCTTGCTGGGAGTTCAGATTGCTCCTCCTTTAGGCTCTTTCCAGAGAGAGCAGCTGGACGTTTCTTCCTGTTTATACTTTGGCTTTCATTCTCTGCAGGACTGGGCAACCCCAAAGGTCTGTTTCCCGCTCCCTTGCGTCAGGTAGGTCCATCTAAGAGGCCTGCTCCCTTAGGATGTTCCCCTGCCGTGCCGGTCAAAAGGCCACTACTTAGGGAGAAGCCAAGCCTTTTGGCTCCATTGTCAGGTGAGTAACACTTGAGCTGAGTGACGTTCTCACCAGTAGACCTTCGTGTGGTGATGGACGAGTTCTGCGGCCACACTGTGAACACTGCATTTACCACTTGTGCCTGTTGGATACTGAATGTGGCTACTGTAGCTGAGTATGTAACTTTTTGTGTTTTGAAGCAGTTTATCTAACATAGCCCTGGTTGTCCTAGAACTCACTCTATAGTCCAAAAAGATCCACCTGCCTTGCCTCCCGTATTCTGGGACTGAAGGTGTATGCCACCACATTTAGCATGAGTATGCATTTTTCCCCACAAGAGAACGTTTCTCTGTGTGTAACAGCCCTGACTGTCCCTTTGTAGACCAGTCTGGCCTCAAACTCACAGAGACCCGCCTGCCTTTCCCTCCCAAGTGCTGGGAATAAAGGCATACACCACCACTACCCAGAGTATGCAAATTTTTAAGTTCATTTAATTTTAATTGTTCACATGACCATCATCTGTACTGATGAGATCATAGTGAGCAGCCCAGCGGTGGGCCAGTGAAGGCTTCAAAAGGCTGTGTTATGTTTTTACTAGGTATAAACCTGATTTCTTAGTCCTTTGTACTCTCCCTCTTTTTGTTTTGTTTTGCTTTGCTTTGTTTTTGTTTTTCAAGATAGGCTTTCTCTGTGTAGTCATGGCTATCCTAGAACTCAACTCTGTAGACCAGGCTGCCCTCAAACTCACAGAGATCCCCCTGCCTCTGCTTCCGGAGTGCTGGGATTGTACCACTGCTGCCCGACTTTCTCTCTCTCCTTTTTAAAATTGCTCATATACATAGGAAATGTTTCTTTCATAAATGGAGATCATTGTCAATTGTGGATGGATGGTAACCATAGGAAAAATATGCACATGACAGTGTTATTAAATTCTTGCTAGATGCTCTTGTCCGCCTCAGTGGCTTAAGCTTAAAGCTTACTTGCTTCTGGCTACAATATGAATTACTAAAATCCAAAGAGGTGCTAATAATACACCAGCACTACTCTCTGTCGCCTGATTCAGATGGACCAGGAGAGGTCGGCCAAAGGAATGTCTTCTCATAATGCTGCCAGTCAGCTGTGGGTCTTGCATCTCTGAGAGCCTCTGCAGATTCTGTTGGAATCAAAGGAGCAGTCGGCTCCCCTTCATGGGAAGAAGGAAGGCCTGCTTTCCCATACAGAGGTGTTGCTGTGATTGTGATATGCACATCTATAAAATGGTGGCATGTGTGGAACAAGCTTTGGCTGTGGCCCTATCTCCTGAGCACCCAGATAGTAGGACTGGTTTCTCCTTGGGAGAAGTTTAAGATGGGACTCCATGGCTTCTGAAGGCTCTTTTAGTCCCCAGATAACAAAACTGATGATTGGGGAAAAGCTTTTTAAAACACAGAAAGGCAGCTGGTTGGCATAATGCTTGCCTTAGGATGTATGAAGCCTGGGACCAATCCGCAGCCATATAAGCCAGGTATGGCAGAGCAGGAGTTTAAGGTCATCCTCAGCTACGTAATGAGTTTGGGACCAACCTAGGCTATATAAAGCTGTGTCTCAGAACACACACATGAGCCTGGGAGATGGCTCGGTGTGTAAACTGTGGCGAATCCAAGTTTGATTCCCGGAATGCACATTACAGCTGAATACAGCAGTGCCCATCTCCCATCCAGTCCCTAAGTTGTTCACCTGTACACACACACGCACACACACACACACACACACACACACACACACATTAATGAATTAAAATATAAAAATATATACAAGCCCTTCTCCCCATAAAAAAGGGAAGCAGGAAGCATGTTGGTACAAAGTAGATCAGTAACTATTAAGATACATCAGACCCCCATTGGGAACCAGATATGGATATGCCATGTAGGTCTTAGAGATTTGTTTTTTTAATTTAAAATGTTCTTTCTGTTTAAATTTTATTTTTTGTGTCTGAGTGTTTTGCCTCCATGTATGTCTGTTCAACACATATGTGTCTGGTGCTTGAGGAAGTCAAGAGGGCATAGGATCCCCTGGAACTGTAGTTAGAGATAGAGATGGTTGTAAGTCACCATGTGGGTGATAGAGTGGACCTGGGTTCTCTACAAGAGCAGAAAGTACTCCTTAACGGCTGGGTCATCCATCTTTCCAGCTTGCTGTCAGACCTTGAACATTTCTGTGACCTTGGTGTAATGGTCACCTCCACTTTCTAGATGAGCTGCTCAAGACACAGAAAGTATTGACTTGCCCAGAGTCATACTCAAGTGCCTAGGGGAGCCAAGACTGCACACGGTGGAGCCAAGACCCCACAGCCTGTGTCCTTCATCACTTCATGATCTCAGTGAATTGATTTCTTGGGTTTTTGCCTGGGTTCAGTTGTAACCATTCATTCACAGCCTACCACAGACAGCAGCCCAAAGGACTCTTCTATGAGCCACCTGCCCGTACCCACCACAGTTGAGAGCTATAGAATGTCAAAGGGAGGAGTGAGCATGGTTAGCATGGATCTGGGTGCACCCAGGAGGTAGTTGGGTTTGGGAGCCTGGCAGGGAGGGGCATCTTGATCTTTTAGGGAGGAACCTATAGGTCATATATGTGACTCCCTGGAGATAGGGATTGGGAAGCTGCTCCGTGTTGCCCTTCAGTAAGATTCAGGATTTAGTGAGCTAATAAGGAAACTTCAGCCTGTTAGAGAATTGCACAGATAAGTTTGGTCCTGATGAGGCTGGGCCTTGGGACAAGTTGGCTACTGGGATAGAAAATGATACGGCTTTGTCTCTTTTTGTAGTTCTTTTGAAGTCAGTGCCACCGAAGAGAGCACTCCAACCCACGTCCTTACGGAATTAAAGGATGTGCTGAGAAGTCTGAAGAACAGGGTGGCTGGTTGTGGCCCAGATGGCAGCTTTACATCTTCCAAGAATCAAGGCCCCTGCTTGACTGCAGCTCTACTGTGCAATTCCTGAACACAACCGTGGCTTTCTCTGACTATAGTCCCATGGAGACTTTCTCATCTATACAGTATTTTTATGTCAAACAGAATAGTTGTATGAGGTCATTGTTGTATTGAACCCTAATTATTCAGTTATGTTAAAATACAATAAAATGTCTGATTTTTGCATAATGCTTGCCTTCATGTTGAAAACAGTTTATTTGATGTAATTTTAGATCTACAGGAAATTTGCAAAGATGATGCAGAGAGGTTCTTCATGCAGCTTCCCCAGCAGCATCTTATA